TGTAAACATTTTTATGCACATTTGGATCAGAGAACTGCACCACAGCATTCAGAAAAATACCAAAAAAATGAAGAATGATTGCATTTCAGATTAGCTGTTGATTAGGGAAGTATGAATTGGATTTGTTTGTTTTAATGTGCTAACCAAACACATTTTCTTCCACCCTACATATTTCTATAAGACATAAAAAAGTTGGTGCCAAAGAAACTGTCTTAAAAACACTTCCCTGTTTCTTCCTGATTGTTTATATTTTCTTGAACTTGAATGAGTGGGAGAAGGCAAATTAGTAAACTGGGTTGAAAACAGCACAGAGGCATTACTGGAGGCAAGCAGGGCCATTCAAAGTATTTTACCAAGAGTCTTACAAAATCAGAGTTAGTTTCAGTAGAAATTGCATTTCTATTGCTTCTTACTCAATTTGAAAAAATAATTCAAAGGAGGAAAAAGCCTCAGTGAAATTCTAAACAATGAAATGTTATATTCTTGAATTTATTTATGGACAAGAGATGGGTGTATGCCTTGTCTTTCAGTGCATGGTCATCTCTGCAGTGATCTTCAGCCACCATGACTTTCTACACTTCCAATATGGGCAGCCAGACAGCATCCATGATGGAACATGTGTAAGAGAAGACAACACCACGAGTTGTAGCTCTTTCAAGCACCTCCTATAATAAATTAAGCTTAAAAACACCACAAAGAAAGATCCGTATGGATCAAGGCCCCCAAGAATAAGGTGTAAAAACAGAAGCATCATGTATAAGGAAAGGAAATGTTTAAGAAACTGCAAGGCAGACTTTTGGCCCTCCATTGCTGCTAAAGCACCAGGTTCCTGTGGAAGTATACTACAATGATCAGAGTAGCAACTGTAGTTCAGTTCAACCATACGCTTGCACTGTTTCTTTAGTTTGGATATATATATCTGCCACAAAAAGTCAGTTGCACTTCCTGCGCCCTTTCTATCTGCCCTCTCTCATGGAGAAAATAGTTTTTGTTTCCTTGGTTCCTTGCTTGCTTACTTAATGGGTGCATCACTGGAAGATCTGAATGACCAGGTTGGAGATAGATGATTCTGGAGAAAATCTATCTTAAGAATCGACATTGACTTCATGGCACATAATCCATTTATGTTTAGGGAGAAAGCATAGCTTGCCACAGTACTAAATACGGTGAATTGTATATTGCTATTGCTGGATTATACTTTTTCTGTTAGTTACCTACATGCTTACTATAAAGCTACCTATTAGGAGCTGAATCACAGGCACATACACATTTTTAATTAGGTGCAATTGAACAGACAAACACTCACCATCTCAACCTGTCTAATAGCAACGTGTAACTCTTCCAAGGACAGTGTCTTTGATTTTGCCAATGCCTTTTTTTTCTAGCCCATCATCATGTTCTTAATGTTAGTTTCTTCTTTGTGATCTTTGCCCCAATTCAGCCTTTATTTGGTCCAGGACTAACCTCTTATAGTACTCTTAGAAACCAGTTCTCTTTTTTCTCCTACTGCTACTCAGTGTCCTGAGCCATCACTTTAGTTATTCTGATCTTTGTTGCCATATAAATATCCTTATCCTTCATGATTTTGCCTAGATCTGTCCTTGCCTTCTTCCCTAGAGTTATTTTACTTCTCCAGCTCTCTCTGGTATGAGAATTGTGAACCCTCAATGCCTCTTCTTCTACAGCTGTAAGCAGTTCAGTGGATATTTCATCTGTATCCAGAGCTTTCCTGTTTGACAGCTGGGCTATTGCCTATCATACATCACTTTCTAGTGGAATCAGTTCTGAATAAACATTCTCCCTTTGCAAATTTTCTATCAATCTGTAATTCCATGTGTAAATTATTTCAGTGTAAGCTTTCCATTATCGTTTAAGCTCAGTTGCTTCCATTATATCTTTTCCATGATAACCTTCAAGTGCACATTTTCCTATAATTTCCCTGATCTTAAAAATAACTCTCATTTTCCTTTTCTTGTTATTTTCCTGTGCTTGTTTATATTCTTTATTGACATAATTTTCCTTACCAATTCTTGCCTGGAAAGTCCTTTGATGTTGGATGACCATGTACAGTCATTATATATCATTCTTGTTGCTCAAACCTTTCATCCATCATCTTTTTTTCTGGGGGAGTGGTGATATCATTTTGGGGAGGGGGGATGCCTTCAAGTCAGTGTTGACTCCTGGTGACTGCCTGGACAAGTCCCTGTAGTTTTCTTGGCAAGATTTCAGAAGTGGCATGCCATTGCCTGCTCCCTAGGGCTGAGAGAGAGTGACTGGCCCAAGGTCACCCAGCTGGCTATGTGTCAAAGGTGGGACTAGAACTCATGGTCTCCCAGTTTCTAGCCCAGTGCCTTGGAACTTTTCCTCTTTAAAATGTTGAAATTATTTGTTCTACTTCAGTTTTCATGGTATTTCTTACCTTTTTTACATAGTTCTGCAAGTTCTTTCATATGTTAAGCAAACTGAATCTGTTCCTTATATTGGTTTCATATATGACTGTATCTGTTGCCCAGGCCAAATCTTGCTGAGGCATCTATTCTTTTTAACTTTCTAAGTTTAATATTCTTTCCAATCACTCATTAGTAGTATTGTTGCATTTATTGCCTCTTGCACTTTGCCATAAAATTCTTCAATGTCTGTAACTATTGGAAGGTACATAGATTTGTATAGCACTGATGTTCTCTGGGCCTAATAGATATATTTAATAGATTTATTTGATCATGCAATCATCTGATTTAAAGGAACCTATTCCAGTCTAAAATTATTTATTCATTCAATTTCCAATCTAGTATATTTCATTTCCACTTCAACAAGTTCAAGTTTTCCTCGTTTCATGCTTTTCACACTACACGTTCCAACTGTATGTGTCCTTATAAAATGAGAAACATCTATCTATCTATCTATCTATCTATCTATCTATCTATCTATCTATCTTTTAACTGTGGGAATAGAAATGCAGTATATTTCTTCAGTGTATGAATGCATATTTTTCACAAGGTGCAATTATTCACTGAAGTTTCATTGATATTAGTTACTAAACTGCAAATGTTATGGGAATGCACTAATCAATGAATAAGATAGAACATAACATTCTGAAACCTTATATTGATTTGGATTTCAAATTTGCTTCATTTGAAATAGCCTTCAACTCAATATACTGCTGTACATTGTTTGACTAACACTAAAAATAAGATAGATGGATTAATTAGGTTTTCCTATAATTGTTGCCAGTGTAATAATCATCACTTTTTATTAATATTGTATTAATAATTTCCAGCTATAAATATCTACTGATGAAGAAGTCTAATGATTTATAACTAATATTTATAACATGTTATAGCCTCTAAAATATTCCAAGCCACACCCCAGTTGCCAGCATCTGGACTTCTGTATTTAGCATGCCATATACTACAGTACTGAGTGTCTAAAACTAATGGGAAAACTGAATTTATTTATTATAGCATTTGGTTCTAAATGCTAAAAAGACAATTGGTAGATACATCTAATGTAGAAAGAGAAATTGTCAATTGCATACCAATTTAACTATCATAGTTACCTTGAGATAAACTTGGAAATAATCTTGGTTATTTCACCAAACAATTGTTCAACAATAGTTCTCAGATTTCCTGTGAAGAAGGAATGGCCATTAGATCTGTGGAACTCCATAATATATATTCCTCCTAGGAGATTACCACTTTGATTTGTTTATAGAACGAGTAGAATATGTCCTTCTTTCTTGAAAACACTTACTCTCTCTTATTGAAAGTTTCTAGAATGACCATCTAGATTTTATGTTCTATTTTATTCTTAGTACAGCTAAGTTCCTAATGATGGCTACACATTTCAGGCTGGAAACTACAGGTAGTCCTTGTTTAGTGACTGCCTCATTTAGCAACCATTTGAAGTTACAACAGCAATGAGAAAGCAAGTTTGTGACCAATCGTCTCATGTATGACCTTCACAGGTATTTAAAGCAAAGGAAAGCTGAAATAAGATCATAAGCACAGTCATGGTTTCACTTAGTGACTGCTTCATTTAACAACCAAGCTGCCAGTCCCAATTGTGGTCACTAAATGAGGACTACCTGTAATATGATTTTGAAAATTAGTCTTATAGTTGTATATGGTTGGATTGCTTTTTACTTTCTCAGAATTTATATTTAGAATTTTATTAATGGCTTTTCTCTTTATATTTTTTTTAATTCAGTATTTATACTTTGTTTTCTCTCTTATGTAAGAGTCAGTAGAGTATACACAGTAAAACACTATGTACCTCATCTCAAGATCAAGAATGTCTTACTTTGCTCTCCTTCACGACACTTTATCCCAAATTTTATATAACCAGCATTCAGTCAGAATGCTGGGTTCAAGATCCTCTTCTGCAAAATCTGGATTTTCTGTAACTCTTTGTCTGGATTTTCTGTAAACCTCTGTCTTCTTCGTGTTTGATGGTTCTCCCAATGAAAATTGTAAACAGATATTGTGTTCAACAAATATTGAAGCCTGCAGAATGAACAGAAGGAAAAGTAGTATCCTCTAGCTACGTTCTTCCCGATATAACAGTACAATGTTAATAAGAGCCTTTGGTTGTATGTGTTTCTTTTTGTGATTACATTAATGTATTTTATTGCTGTGGACATTTTTTTTTCTGAAATATGGGATATAATTGTTCCGTTGTTTCTGCAGCACAGCAGTAATAAGCCATCGCAATCACATTATGCCCATCGTAGTGCTCAGCATGTTGCTAGCTTCCAAGAAATACGGACATGCTTAAGAGGAGATTGCTAGCATTGGAATTCCAGATAGGTGAATCCCATGAAGACGATGGGATATAACATAAAGAAGAACAATTGGGTTCTAGTACATTGCTTGTCTGATGCCCAGGACAGCTATGACGTTTTATCCTGAGCAATAGGAGAGATGAATGGGAAGAGTAATCTATTTCTATAGATGCAAACTGCTTTGGCCAAACATTATTATTTCAATTCTTTCTTCCTGCAGAACCCAGTGATGCTCCTACCGATGTCAAGGCTACAGGACTATCTGTATCAGAGATTCTTGTTGCGTGGAGGCACAATAAAGAAAGCCTAGGAAGACCTCAGGGGTTTGAGGTATTAATACAAAATATAATCCAGGTTGGCTGAAGGGTGGGGGGAAGGGTCCTTTTGTTATTTCTCTCTGTTCTTCTAAAAGAATTGTTTGAAATCAAGATGTTAAATCTTTACAATATTGGAGACCACTCCAGTCACTCAGGATTGGATTACCCATTATACTAAGTAAGACATAAAATCCCTAGACCATTAGGCACAGCCTTCAGCCCCTTTTACAACTCCTAGCCTTTCTCTTGCAATCATATTATCAGCAAGGTGGTTTCCTGTGGGCTTTCTGGCTTGCACGTTTTCCCAAACTTCTTTGCTTTCCAAACTGGACAACAGTCACTGCAATTTGACTGATTATAGAAGCATCCTTGAATGTGGTGGTGATTTTCTTTTTACACAACCCACATATAAAAGGCTTCAGCTGCAGAACTATAGCTGCCATGTTGATGCCCCTGTTGCTTGTTCATTCTTCTTTGGGGAAAAACCTCCAGAGAAACAGTAACGTTGATGAGGGAAGGACTGCAATTTATAGCACATCTTATCTGTAGAAAATGCATTGTTCCCTCCTCCATGGAGAATTTACGGCAGGAAGGGAACTGGAGAGATAGGGAAGATCTGTACATACCTGCTAACCTCTCCACTCTACCATGAACAGTGTGCTGGTTCCTATAATCTCTTACAGATATATCAAGAAGCAGGTGGTAAGAAAGGTCTTCCTCTGAAATCCTGGGAAGCTACTGCCAGCCAGAGCAGACAGAACTAGGCCAGCTGGACTAACAGTTTAAAGCAGCTTCCTATTCGATGTAGTGCTTTGAATGGTGAAGAGATCCTTGCTTCCCATATCCTATTGTGGAGGTGGTAGATCTCAAGCTCATTGCTTCTGAGAAACTTGAAGGATCTCCATAAGAGACTTAGCTAAGGAAACGTGAACTTACATGACAGATATGCAGTCAAAGCAATGTACGGGAAGAAGGGGAGAGAGAAGAACTGCAGCTTACAATTCACCAGATGCAAGTCCTGGCAGGCTCATGTTATCAGAGTAAAAAGTCAAAGGACATAACTTTTATACCTTCTTCCTTTTTTTTACTTTCCCCTCTCCCTTTACCTCCAATTGGTATATGTAGAGATGAACTGTAGGTCAGCAGTAAAGTACATGTCTTGTGTGGAGATGATCTCAGGATCAATTCACAGCATTTCTAGGCAGGATTGGAAAAAATTACCTTCATCCCCACAGTACTGCTGCCAGGCAGAACAGGCAACAGAGAGGGGGATGGAATATGGGCTGAATTTGTCACAATGCAGGTTTCTATGTTCCTGTATCATGGGGCTGGCATAAACTGCTAAAGTTACAATGCTATGCATAATTGTAATATCTGTAATAACGTGCAGCATGTAAACATTGTTTTAATTGCACCTGCACCTATCTTTTAGGAATTGTGTTTTAGGGGCACAGATAGACTCACCCCGAAAAATGTGTGAGAGTTATTACAAGATTCTTGAAGCTAATGAGAATAATAATTTATTAAATGTATATGCTGCCCGACTGAAGCTGTTGGCACTGCATTCTCAGATTTGGACTTTAAAGCTCAGTCTATGAGAAAATGCTGTCTAGATAATTATGAATAGTTCTTCAAAACCAAATGTTATCTTCTTACAAAACTGGAACAAACACAAAAGCAACAATAAAAGAAAAAAGCTTATTAATTGGCCCATACATAATTGCATACATATCCTAAGACTCAGAGAAAGGGTGGAATTGGCTGCTCATGAAAAGATGAGAAGTTCACAGATAAAATAATAATAAAAAGCAATGAGGTCCAAATTCCAAGGGAGAATGTACTGATTTTTATGAAATTTGCCGTTTCCTCTGATCGTAGAGGTGTAATTTGCCTTCATAATTCATTCCATTCTGCTCAATTAGCTATTTGTTGGTTTGTTTATCACATTTATATCAGACTGATTCTTTGCAGCTTGCACAATAAAAAACAATTAAAATATCCACAGCAGTCTTAACATCTCAAGAAAGAACAAGCATCAATCATAATATGATGATTGGTATATTATATTACCTTCCCCCAAAAAATTTAAAAAATAAGACAAAGATGGTCCCAAACTGGTTGGATTGTCTCTAGAATGACTTGTTCTTCAATGTCTTTGTCACCGCCATCAGGAATGGTGACACTCTGATCTCCCTTGGGAGACTGTTCCAGAAAACAGGCACAGCAACTAAAAAGCTGAGCCTCCTGCTTCAGTTCCCTTAATTTCCCAAAGGGGGGGGGGCACTAGGAAAAGTTTTTCCCTAGATCATCTAATAGTGCAGGCCAACTCTGGTTGGAGTGGGAAGTCCTGTAGCATCCAAGTGTAAGTCATAAAGATGGAGATGAGATATAATCAACATCAACTCCAAGATTGGCGAAGAGATAGTGGAGCATCTTTGAAAACAGGGAGTTCTGGAAGTTGCAGTTTGAATATGTCTGGGAAGCACTAGATTAAGTGGGAATAAGGGAATGTGAGACTTGGTGAATTCCTGTAGAACTACTTGAAAATTAGGGGTATCCACAAGAGGTCAAAAAAGTCAAGATGATGGTTGCAGCTACACAGCCAAATCCCACCTCTTGTGAAATGTGCTGCACATGTGCTGCACATAAAAGAAGAGTGCGGCTTCTATTGCATGGTCACAGCCACCTCTCAACCTTTTTGATGTCCTCCTGCAGATGGTCTTCTTGACTTCTTTGATTCGAACGGAGCTTCCAATGACAGCCTCTATGCAGTTTTTTTGGCAGATCAACCGAACTGGGTTCCATTACCATCTTCTTAATAATTTAATTATCTAACAAAGACTAGTCTTGTTAACAGATGTGTGGTTTTTGTAGATATTTAATTTAGTGACGACTGCATTGCACTCAGATGATAGAAACAATTTTAGACTCGCACTGAAATAAGAATGTTGTTGTTGCACTACACAGAGGGAAAGAGACAAACCCTGCAACACATCTCTTGTACAAAGTTAGTACCTGCACTGAATGAATTTCAGAGGAGCTGTTCTGTATTCATACGTTGCAAGCATGAACTCCCAAGAGTGGGAAAAGCTCAGAAAAGGCAGACACTGACAGCCAGACTTGTAAACATCAAAAACTATTTGGTCTTGTGTGCAAAGGAAGAGAAGGTATTCCAGAGAGAGGGTTGGGGTTTTTTGTTTTTTGTTTTTTGTTTTTGGAATTACACTCAACAGAAACGAGCTCCTCTCAAAGTAACACAAACCAAATCCTCTTCCTCTCTCTCTGTCCTCCAGCGATGCTGGTTCAATATGATTAGACCACTACAAGGTTTCCTCAGGTGTTCTGTCATCTCCAATTCATTACATGGATGAAGAGCTTCCTCTCTGTGCTCTATGGCTGACAGGGAAGGAAATATTGTTTTTGCCATTTCTTCACACAATTCAGTCAAAGCGGGCCAGGTATGAATAGTAGGCTTCTTTGAAGACCCACAAGTGTGGGCTACCCTTGAGATTCTAAAGTTGCCTTTGAGTTCCTGACAGCACTTATTCTGGTTTCTCCTGATTTGCTGGTTACATATGCAGGAGGCAGCAGTGGAAGCATTATAAGTGACAGAAGTAGCAAAGTGTAGAAGGCAGTCTGGAGCAGAAGAGTAGGAATGTTGTAGTAGTAGAAGGGTGAGCCAAAATTGCAGTTTTTTATCATCACTCAGTTCACTCCATAATGTAGGACTGGCTGTTTTGTCTCAGCTTAACCTAGTGAAACGCCCCTAGATCAGGACATCTGATTCAAGAGAACCTCAGCTATCCCTGGTTAATTTACCTGCGAGCTGGTAGAAGGTGGTAGCCACCATGTTGAATTTTCTATAGAATCAGCTATCTGATGTTAAGTTATCTGAAGCCCAAAAAATGATGACCAATTCCCACTATCTGCTTGTAACATCATCAGGTAAAACAGCCAGGAAGAAGCAGCTAGGGGAAGCACAGGAAAGATTTAACCCCTAATAAACCTTCCTGAGGCAGATGAGCCTAGGCCCAGGTATATCAGATGTTGACCCAAAGCTTGTGTTCTTCCTTTATATTTTGTGCAGGCATTGTGGGGATAAATGAAGAGGGGAGCAATGCATCTCACTCTGAATTAATTGGAGGAACAGGAGACTAAATGTAATTAAATAAATCAATGTTGGCTTGATATAGGAGACTTATCTTCCAGATCATATTCAGCCATGAAACTCCCCAGGTGTGTTAGCAAAGTTGCTAAATGTCTTCCTTCTTCAAGAATTTATCTCCAGTACTGAAAGGGTTTTTATTAATTCGGATGACGTTTCTAAAAAAAAAATGGGGCTCTTATTTCAGGTTGAACACAGCTTTTGGACTAAGACTCACAGTCATTACCAGTCAAAAGTCTTCTCCTGTATAGAGTTGCCTTCACAAAAAGCACTGGAAGAAACCATCCAATATTTTCTTTGATCCAAGGTTTGCTTTGATGCTATTTCCACTGTGCAGATTTGGCTTCAGGTTTTAAAGCACTCAGCTTTTAATGCTTCTTGCTGTAAGTGAAGCCTTGCTGTAATATATCTTATACACTTGGGGTTTTTTGTTTGTTTTTTGTTTGGTTGTTATTTTGTTTTTTGCCCAACCTTCTCTTCTACTTATATCTGGAGTACAACCTTCTGCTTCTGAGAATTATAGTACATACAGTATCTGGAGGACACCAGGATGGAAAAGGCTGATTACAGTAAAGTTCAGCAGCTGATAGCCCCTGGATAACAATAAATTCTTTGACAACCAAAGGGAATCAGATGGTATTTCTCAATCTGGATAGACAGAAGCCAACAGTGAGGATGGCGGCCATGTATTAGTCATACAAATCCACCACTGATAATATTTACCTCATGATCAATTGTCAGGTTCATCAAAAAATGTTCCTTCTAAGTCTAAAGAACTATTTTAAATAGCGTTATAGGGTGACATCGGCTATAAGCATAAGAGTCACTATAAGCATTAGGAGAGGCCACCATAGGAAGGACTCTCACAAATGGTCTCTGCTAAACCCATTGTCTTTCATTGGCAGATTGGCTACTGGAAAGATATGGAACAAGAAGAAGCAGCAGAAAAGGCCAAGACGGAAGGAAATGAGTCATCTGTCATCCTCACAGGGCTAGAAGGCAACACCCTGTACCACCTGAGAGTGAAGGCATTCAACTCAGCAGGCTACGGACCACCAAGCGACACTGTCCACGCAGCCACTAAGAAATCTCGTAAGTTACCAATTTTTGTCCTCAAATCATCCGGTTCCAATTCTCCTTTCCCTCCCTTTCCTTGAAATGTATATTAAATAACAACAGCAACCACAAGAACTCTGACTTGTTGTTGTCATTATTCATAACCTCATTTCAAGGGACTTGCATTCTAAAAAAGGGTAGTTATTACTGTTATTCATGAGAAGCAAGAAGTTATCTTTCTGGAAAACATGGCTAAACATTTTTGACATGGAACAGCAAAAGGAAATGTAATGATTCATCGGTAGCTATTAAGATTGCAGTTTTGGAGCAAGTGGTTCAATTTTCTCCCTGCCCCCCCCCACCCCCCAGCCAAGCTTTTGAAAAAAATATCTCTAACTTTTTTTTTTCCAATGTTTTTTTCAGCGCCTAGTCAAGCACCAAACATTATGTGGGTTCAGGATGGTCCCCATGTTTCCCTGGGATGGCAGCCTGTAAAGCCTTTAGCTAATGAGTCTGACGTGATGGGATATAAGGTCAGTGTGTCAGATTAACCATCTCCCTCTCTGGTTCTCTTTCATCATTTTCTTTTCTTTCAGCAGCATAATGCAATAATGCTTAGCATTGCAGCATGAACCTTATTTAGCATTAGAGGAATTTGGGTAGAACAACAGGCATTGCAACAGATGGGGATGGTGGTGGTGGAAAGGGGACAGTAGAGGCAAGCTAAGCGAATGTGAAGGCCAGCCCTGGAAAAATTCTGAAAGAATTCTTCTGAATTGATTCTGAATGGAAAAATGCACCCAAAAAAAAAAAAAAAATGATGTGAGAAAAGTCTAGCATTATCACTTTGTGGTCAGGAAATATATGTTTTTGTGAATAACTAAAGCAAGAGTCTCTAGACTTTTGGGGCCACTGGGTGCTTTTCGAATTTTGAAAGCATCTCAGAAGCTCTCCCATAAAATTGTTCCAATCAGTGGAGGTGGCCAAAGAACATCCTGTTTATCAAAACTTGTTCCCCACTGGCCCCTTTAGCCATACAATGTGCTACCTATCTCCTCAGCTTACTGTTGCTTTGTTTCATTTCTGGGCAAGTTCTGCATTGGAACAACCTACTATTCTTATTTTCTTTGAATGTCTCACCAGGTTTGGTGGGACTTTGGTGGGAAGCATTCTTGAAAATAAACATGACGCTGGAGGCTGGTGCTCTTATTTTCCCATTTTTTTCCTTTTTTAATTGAACAAATCTAATTTAGATGAGACAAGAAACCTGCAAGGTACCAAGAGTTACGGGGTAGCTGAAGACATCACATTGGAGATCTTCCTGTGTTGCTTGCCTCATCTCATTGTCTTCCTAGTTTTATTGACACCAATCAATTAGGCCAGAGGCTCCTTTATGATATATCTTGTCACCTAAGCAGCCTATCAAATCTTAACTTTAATGAAGAGTTTAATACTGGATTTTTGTTCAGTGATAATTAACAAAGTTACATGTTGTCATGTCAATCATGAACATTGGACTTTTGCCCATCAGTTTACTCAGGATATTTTCATTTAAAACCTATTGCAAAACCCATTATTTTGCAACTTCATCTACACATATCAAGACTTTGATTTCTATTAGCAGAACATGGGGATGCAATCCTGTTTCTTTCTCCCTCTTCCCCCACACAACTCATATCCATTAATGTCTCAGCTTCTAACTAACCCTGTCCTCCCAGTGCAGACAACTTTACTAAAACATGGACTTCAAACAAAGCAGCAACTTTTACTTGGGAAAGAGGCTAAAACTGAATGAAATTCCTGACTATATTTTGTACATAGTGATCCTCAACCAGGGGCGATAAACCAGGCAATGTGTGCTGCTTGATGCTGTTAACACTACCCCCATCTGACTATTAATTGGAGCAGACTGCAGCAAAATCCATACAAACACTTCAATCTGACAGCATTTGCAGTAGGATTTAAGGAAATGCAGAAGCACGAGGTGTCGTAAATGCCATTAAAATTAATATTTCTTTTATAGAGCAGAAGTGCAAACATAGAGATTTGTTATGATTGTGTTGGGGATATCCAGCAATCTGTGCTCATAGCATCTGTTTGTCTTTTTTTTTTTTGCTTGGGTCCTTTGCAGGAAGATTTCAACTTCCCCGAGTTGCTGCAAATGGTCATTGGGCCACATTAAAAATTATACATGTATTCAATCGTATTTGCTCATTTATACATTCTTTTTTTTTAACACATACAATTAAACTGGGGGGCGATCTTTTTTTCTTCTTTTTCTTTTTCTGGGACCATTGTTTTTCTTTAGTCTCCAATGCAGCAAGAGACATGGTGATCAGACTAAAACCCAGTTTGTTTATTTGACTTGCTTCAGAGTTTGAGAAGGGTTAAGCAAAATTGGAGTGGAAAGTCCTTTTGAGACCTCAGACACCTATTTGGCTTTTTAATTTGCCTTTTTAAAAACCTGGGAAATTGTGTCACTGAATTTCAGTGGTATAAATGGGTGGGTGGGGTAGGTAAGTCCATCAAAAAGAAAAAGGTTGCCCATCCTTCTGTTAGAGAATTAAAAATGCATTTTATTAGAAATTATTATAAATGCAAACGTTTATATATTTGGCTATGTATTTTCTCCTAAGTTTCTCTTTTTCTTCATTTGTCCTCTTGCTCTTTATCATTTAACATGTCTGTTATTCCAGTAATGTTCAGTAGAGAGCACAGTTACTATATTCACCAGAACATTTATTTTCCAAATTGAATGGAACATATATTCATTTTATTTATTTATTTATTTGCACAATTTATTGGCTGTCCATCTCACTTTTTCCATATGTATGTGTATATATATGTTCTTTATATATGATGTTCCACACATACTCTTTGCACCCATCCCAAAGTGTTGTCTGTACAGCAGTGATTTTCAAACTTGGCAACTTTAAGACATGTGGACTTCAACTCCCAGAATTCCCCAGTCAGCCTGCTGGCTGGGGAATTCTGGGAGTTGAAGTCCACACATCTTAAAGTTGCCAAGTTTGAAAATCGCTGCTGTACAGACAACACTTTGGGATGGGTGCA